TTTATCTGCAACAGAAGGAGAGGAGACAAACATTTCTCAAGAGAGGCGATTTATGTTAAACTGAATACCTTATTCAAATATGCAATGCGTGTTGATATGAACTCGTCAGGTTGATTTTTGATCTAATTTGTGCTATAGAAATATTGCCACGCTTTCCTGAAACACTTTTTCTTTCCTCCATTTTCTGATTCACAATCTACATATATATTGGTCTGATTATCGTTTCATACTACCGAATCTGCAATGTCCTTGTTAGGCACTATTGAAGATAAGGACGTTCTCAATACAGTACTGTTCGCCTTGACTGTCTGCGATGCAGTTGTACGGCGCTGTTCTCTTCCACCGCCTTCTTATCTGATGCCACTCTCGAAAACTATTAGCCGATTATTTGCATGGGACGCTTACAAATTAACCCGGCGATAGCGCTACCGCGTATTCGCAGATAGTGGTACTGCCATCGCACCATCTTTGTCGCGCCGCTTCGGTACGGACGTGATCGACCGAAAAACACTCGTAATTGAAACTTATGGGAAGTACACTTGTAGAGATTCTTTAGGACCAACGAATTCGAATAGATTAGAAGGAACCAAGCATATACAGGGCGTAAAGTTAGTACTGTTCCTCGTGAGCTTCAGGACTACCTCGAACGTCACAGCTTGACTAGCGACAGGCAGTATGGTTTCCGGCACCAGCGATCCACAGGGGATCTCATACCTTACGTCACGCAATTGTGGAGTAAACTCATCCAGTCTTATGGTGAGGCTCATGTCGTTGCTCTTGACATCAGGAAAGCGTTCGATCAGCTATGGCACGCTGCCCTCTTAAGCAAACCTCCATCCTATGGCCTCCCAGAAAAGCTTTGCAGATGGGTGGTTGACTTTATCTCTGGCCGCAAGATATCCGTCGTAATTGACGGGTTCTTCTTTTTATCCCACAACGTCAACGCGGGTGTTCCCCAGGGGTTGATCTTGGCTTTGACACCGTTCCTCTTACATATCAACGACCTCCTTTCATACAGGATCAACCCAATACACAGCTTCGCTGATGACAGCACTCTACGTTCAGGAATTCAGAGTGACAAGCCGATCTCTGCCGCTCAGCTGGAAAAAAGAACACTAGCGACGAGTCCTCTCTGTCGAGAGACCTGGAGGTTCTCACTGCTTGTGGACGCAGCAATCTTGTACAGTTTAGTGTTTCCAAAGCAACGTACTGTACCTTGACGAACAAAAAATGTTCTAGCGCTCATCCGGTATCGATAGATAGCCGAGTTCTGCCAAAGAGCCATTCATTTCGGCTGGTCGGAGTCCAGATCACCGAGGACCTGATCTGGCACGAACACATCTCGTCAATGGCTGCAGCTGCTGGGAAAAGGCTAGGTTATTTGTTTAGGGCTAAGAAGTACTTTCTGTCGCCCCGACTACATTATTTATGCTCAATGCTGAAAGACTGATCGATGACTCTTCCCTAACAGACTGTCTCGGGACCCTTTCGCACCGGCGGGCTGTCAGCGATCTAGCTCTCTTCTACCACTACACCAACGGGCTTTGCTCCTCAGAGCTCTCTTTCATGATTCCGCTGCGCGATGTGCCTGCCAGACAGACCCGCCTGACTTTGGCCTCCCATCCTAACGGTGTCTAACTTCGTACTTACATAACTGGCCGATTCGACCGCTCCTTTGTCCCGATTGTGGAATAACCTACAAGAGGAAATTTATTTGGGATCATCAGAGCAGCCGCGGTTTCCCGGCATTTAAGCTTCTACCTGCGCGGGTGCTTCGGTATAAAAAAAATAGTATATGTTAAGAAAGAACCTTCAAAAAATTCAGTGACGATAAAAGCCCAAACGTTCATCTATTTCAATTGTGCTAATTAATTTAATTTTTGTCTTCATCTGATTAGTAATAAAACGCATAATATATTTGTACTAGCAGACTAGTGGATAACTCAGCTCATTCAATTTTTTTTTCTGGGAGTGGATGAAGCCTAGAAAAGCTGATGTCGCCGACATCTTTACTTAGTCTAGCGCCGAAATGTATAGTGCGGAGAGAATAAAAAAATTGCAATTCAATGGAACTTTGCTTTATTTATGAAAGTTCTGTGGTCTATTATCTTTCCAATGACATATCATAGAAATGATTTGGCATGCGGTCAAAATAAGAGGAAAAAGTTGGTTAGGGCACTGATCCCTTTCCAAGTTTTTCACGTTTGTACGTGTGCTAATTTAGATCTGATAAAAACTATTTTCGAAATGCCTGCCTCCGGTTGATGATCATAATGATGGTGGCAATTGCTAAGCCATAAACAGGTAGGCTTAGGGATACATCTTATGCAAGTTGATTTGAAGTTAATGACGTCCGATACCTGGATTAAGTACTTTGTCTGCATGAATATTTAGATGTAAACATGTGAAATTGGCTACATGTAGACAATGCTCCCATCACTTGTTGCATTCTGCTCTTAAATTTGTAATCCCAAATATCCAATATTTGCACCAGGCCTCAGTTGACCCCACATAGTTCCCTCCTTATGCATCTTGCTCCTGGTGAATAGTGAAAGTCAATTTTTCGTGAACCGTTGTACCTATAACCAATGAAAAACAACAAAAATAGTATGGCGTCATTCTGGCATAAGCAGAAAAAGGATCTAGTGACCTTGACCCATCGAATCCGGCTGCCGAGTGCAAGAAGTACGAACCATCGGCGGCAATATATCCCCTGACAAGTGACTTGCCATTTATAACTCACGTGAGCACTTGCGCCATTAGTGTTGGGTTGCTGCGAGATTAAATTCGAACATAAAGCTCAAGCACCGGAGAGCTTTCCCTCGTACTTCTTCTACAGGGTGTTCTTAATTTAGGACGAACAATAATAACTGTGCCCCTTCCCCGATAAGATGCTGACGTCTGGTGTTCAAGGTACCGTTCAGGACTTGAGGCCTCTTCGTACGAGAGACTAGAAAAGAGATCTACCAAACCATGAAACAAATAATTGAAACGCACAAGCATATGTCAAATAATGACATGTGTTCTACTCTTACAAAGAGAAAGTCACTAGTATGGCATCGGAACCCAGCGCAATAACCATCTTGCATGATAATTTGAACAGGAATAAAGAGTCAGCCACATCTCCGATAAATTGATTAACTTTAATACTATTTTTATTCTCATATTTTTAACTAATAATGTCATTTTATTTCCATTTTCTTATCCTGCATAAAAACTAAATGAAAAAAGAGTATATATGAAATGCTATTGAAAATGATAATAAATTTTATTCTCCTTATTTAACTTTATTATTTCTTTAATATTTTGATTAATCCCTCCTCGACTTCGTATATTTTTAAAAATTATTATTATAACTTTGTATAAAGAGTTTTACGTATTAATTAGCAATCATAAATCCCAATAAAGGACTAAAATTTTTATTTCTATTTAAGGCTAGCTGTTATATAGGTTTTGTTTAATATATTGTACATTAGCTGGACATTTTAATTTTCATCTCTACATGGTATTAGGGTGTCTGGATACTAAATAATAAAATGTATAAGAGGTGTAATTTTTGGGATATATTTTAGCATGTTGCTGTCAGACTGTCGAACAGTCGGAATACTACATAATGTAATGTGCAGCAGAGATCCATAGCTGGGCTATCTGCTGCAACATCTTTAATGGTTCATGGTGGCTGGGCTATAGTTTCCATTCTACAAATGGAATTTATCTCTCTGGGCTTTCATTCAAAATGCCTTCAGGTCCAGCTGGCCAGTGGGGATTTTGCTCGTATGGAAAGTGACATCGACAAGAATTAGAATAGGTGTATCATCTCCCAATCAACATCAGGAAATTTAGTGTTTGTCATATACAAGGAAGATGGTTCCCATTCATTTCAGTTATCAAGTCGATAATTGGCCTTTGCAGAGAGTACATGAGCATAAGAACCTGTGTGATCTTTCACAATTCTTTAAGCTTCAATCACCATCTAGAGCCAATTCTTCTGGCTGTTAGTACATGATTGGGATTTGTGATACGGGATTGCGGGTATGCAAGGAGAGTATGCAACTCCTGCCACGTAACTGCATGTGAGCTTGAAGAAGGTAGAACGTAAGTTCCTATTGCAAAAATGATTTTTTTAGCTTAGATAATAGAAGAAAAGCATTTAAGATTGTCCATCTTTCACATGGCTGTTAAGGTTCAACACCTAAATACTTTAACTCGAAACTCGCGCACCTTTTACCTCCGTACCCCACCTTACTATTGCACTTACCTCTGCATTCAATGTGTTCATGATAATTTTGTAGTCTTCACGACTATCTTTATATATTTAATACAAATTACATCAAGCAAACATGAAAAAATGCTGTTAGTCTGTATTACATTACTTGTTTGTTATCTTGCTGTATTAATTTAGACTTCTCAAGTATTTTTTGCACCCTGTAAATGCAAAAGTTATTTATCATCTTCGTTTTCTTCGTGTAAGACTTCAGGAGCTTTGGTTGGACGTGTGTAAAGCAAACAGAGATATCACTGCTGTGCCGTACGTATAAATAAGCCACACACAAATCATTCACCGTGATGCAGCCCATTACAATGAGCGGGGATTAACCTCGAAATGTGCGTACGTTGGAAAGAACATAAGAATTTAACCACCACAGGACTATGTCACAAGCTACCAGAGTCCTCATCCATTATTTCATCTAATTATTGTAACAACTATTCCTTAGTCACATTACATATGCTCTGGGGAAACTCGGTTTGAGGATAATTACAGGAGCAGACTTTCTAATCGCACTTTGTCCATATTTTAACATTTTTGCCCAAAGGTGGCGTTCGATTCATGGCACTGCTTACTACAAGATTCTAAACTGAAAGAAACTCGAATCGCACCATTTTTAGTAGATATTTGACTTCAAAAGTATCCTAGACAAGCTAAACGCACTTTGTCCGATGGCAAGAATCAAATAGTAATATAATGGACAATGTGCAATTTGTCTGGCTGTCATAGCTGCAGAACAACGGTATTATTAGTCAAATGAGAATGCTGTTAAGTAGTGATAGCGCAAAAGATATTATCTATTCTGCGAATAAGTTAGAAAAACAGGAGTGATGGAGAGCTTGTGGTTGGTGATGTTGATCGAGTTGCCAGGAGGAGGAAAATGAATGCTACCTCAAATGGTAGGAAAGGTTCACTAAAAAAGTGCAGGAACTGCCGAGGCCAAAAGGATAATCATAAAAAGACAAACATCTAATATTGGTGAAGGTGAAATTTTGTTTATGACCGAACTATTATACAGAAATGATAATCCCTCAAAGAAAGTTTATCTACATTTTTAGAAAGTTTATCAGACCAAGATTGGGTAAGAGATCCAGAGCTAACCTGGCTTGATCCAATTTTAAAAGATATGTATAGGGAACACGATGACAACGGAAGAAAGGAGCAGAGCTGTGCCCACGGTGAAGGTGACGAAGAATGTTGCTGCCAGGCGGAAGACGACTTACATGTACTATAATTGGATTAGAACTGTTAGCTTTAGAATTTTAAGTTTGAAATCAGTTTTCATTTATGGACAAACGGACTGGCTTTTGTCCATTGTGGACATTCAAAGAGCCCCTTGTCCATTAATTTTTTTCATTTCTTTAGTAAGCTATTAATATTTGCTGAGCCTTGTTACTATAGCAAACTGTTGATAATAAAATACGTTTTATCATGTGTTAGTCATTTTTCAAATGTTAGCAATAAGCTTATAGCAGTTTTTCCCCTTTCCTGTAAAAAGTCCAAAATGGACAATGTGCGATTAGAAAGTCTGATCCTCTAATACAAATTTCAGTTATGGATGTAGACCATGTAGAAATCACTTTCAATCAAGCAATTTATATTTTTGAAGTCCTATGTTATGTGAACAGAAATCGAAACAAATATCAAACCTCTGCAGATAATACGCATCCATGCACTACGTAATGTTAATTGTGTAGAGAATCCATTCTCGTGACTAAATATGACTAAGGCATTTATAATAGACCTAACGTTAAACAATACAATTTATTCGTCAATGCAAATAAAGAATATAATTTTGAAAATATGTCTAATAGCTACTCATCAAAATTTACTAAAAAAACATTGCTTAATCACTGTTTCTATTCAGTTGATGAATACGTTGATACTATGACGTCACTCGCTACATAATAAATCATTTGTAAGACCTCACGTGTACATTGTATAAACACAATGTGGTCAATAAATCGTATGGTATACCGCTTGTTGATTATACATATATCCGAAAACTACAAAACCTTGGCAATGTAGCCTTTTTTTCGGAAACAGGTTACTGTAAAGGTGCTAGGAATACGGAAAAGAAATATATCGATGAAAACTATATGACCTAGAGAATGACCTCAGAGATCATTTAGAGACCTCGTTAATTCAGATATATCATGGCTGTTTCGTGATCATGTTAAAATTCTACATACAGATTCATGTTGATGCAAGCTCTTATTCAACTTGCCCTGTTTGTTAGTACAGCAGAACCCCGATTATCAGAAATAATCTGGACCCAAGTGCTTTCGGATAAGTGAAAATTCGAATGAAACGGAAATAAATATTTAGACTCATAATGCTTTTATTGAAACAAGTAAATGCGTGTGTTACGTAAAGTATAAACATGTGGATACAAACATACATATTTACGAGTATTTAGTAACAAGGGGAGTAATTTTTAACTTTACACGTTTTGGTTTGTTCCTATTCTTTGCAGCAATATCCCTCCAACGTTTGATAAAAAGCACAGTTGTTCAACTTAAGTCAACGGCTTTTGTAGAGCTTCTAATCCCTCATAATGTGATATTTTGGCAGATAACTCTGTCTCATTGACACTAGCATCACTTAAAACTGTCTCATCGCTATTGTTATAAACAGCTTTAAATAGTTCTGTAATTCTTTAAAATGTTCTCCAAACTTTTAATTCTCGTATACCGGGTCGTTTTTTCCATCTATGCCGCCAACCATCACTGGCTGTAAAGTTATCAGGCGCCTCAATAACTGGCAATTCTTCACTTAAGTTGACTGCCTTTTGCTTTAGAATTGGTCCGGAAATTGATATTCCATGTTCTCGATTCTGTGTAAACCACAGATATAAAGCATTATCCACTTTTTGTTATTCCCCCTTTTTCATAGTTTTCCGTGACGGCTGCGATGATGTCAGGGCACTAGACCACTTTTCAATGTTCTCGCGTTGTTTTTTCCATTCTGGCTATTTTGGATCATTCGCCGATTTCCCGAATAACTTCGGTTAAAACGGAGTTATTAATGTATGCGATCTGGTTCCGATAAGGCGGATTTCGGATAATCGGGGTTCTACTGTATGTGTGGGAAAATATAGGAACAGAATTTTTTGCTAGTTAACCTTAACCGATTGAGCTGGAAATTTGTACACACGTTTGGTTTACGTGCCATTTACAAAATCAATTACCTGCTGCCATTTTCGATCCAATATGGCAGATGCTAAAAAATGGATATTCATTATTTCTATAGTAACCCCTATTTTATGGGTATCAAATGAAAGGTACTGAAAGAAATACGGCGGCCGCCGCTATGTGGCGATTTATAGTTTTCACTAAGTATTAATAAATATTGACATTATAGTTATTACCTAGTAGATCGTTACTCATTTGGAGACGCTGGGATTAAAATTGTTAGTGCGGAGATCCATATTGAATACGATTTTAAGAATCGGACATGAAACAACCGGAATCAGAATCGATATCTTCGAAATCGGGATCGACACCATCGGAATTAATTCTTTCAATTCCCTTCGCGGTATTGTTTCTTTGAGACGACTCGTTCATAACAGACCTAACTCTACCTTGACTCGCCTTTTCTCTAGTTCCTTTCAAAAAGCTGATTTCGTCATTGCACTTTTTGAATTAATATTTGTTATTATAGGTTTATTTCAATTTCCATGTTTATTTATAACTGCATTACGCGTGCCCGATGCTGTTTCACAGGAGGGCTGTCCAGTTGATCGATACCAGAGAGCCTCGGAACCCTTTCGCACAGACAAGCCGTCGACTATCTGAATCCGGTACTACAGCTGAGAAGGCTTTTCGCAGTTCTCCTAACCTTAGGCAGAGCAACAGTTAATAAGGTACCTTTAAGATCCTCATAGCAGCCGCGGTAGCCCGGTATTTAGGCTTCGGCTATGCGGCTGCTTCGGTACATAAAAAAAGCTAGAACTTTAGATAGTACTAGTTTATACCCAAGAGCTGTTCCACCTCTGGTATTTGATCCATTCATTCAAGAAGAGAGATGGCATTGCATCCTTATGTATCAGCACCCATTAAACAATTATTTTTTGGCGCAACACCTCCTTCGAATCTCCATAAGTCAGAGTAATTTAATTCCCGGAATGAAAAAGTCTTTCCATACAAGCAAGCGCAACTTTATGTTGCTAAACGAGTAAATGCCGGCGTGCCAAAACTTAACATTTTTGCCACTAAATAACCAAGAACGCTTAATTATAATCGGTGCTCCTTATCAGCTATTAATATCTACAGGAATTTATAGTAAGGTTACTTTAGATAATCACACTTTTTCCAGGTTTTCGTTATCTTTATTCAGTTAGATTTAAAGGAGTTTAGATATCTTACGCATTGCTGTAAATGAAATAATTCCAAATTCGAAATACGATAAAAAATATACAGTAGCGAAATAGTAAAAAAACTAATTCAAAAGGTACTCACCGTTCATTTGCAGAAAAAGGTTCAAGTTCGGCTCTGACACTTATAAGTACTGTTCGAAGTTGTCCCCGTTGCTATTGTAAGCCGTCCAGCCGATTCGGGAGAATAAAAGGTCAAACAAGCATACATTTATCATGCCAGCCCGAAGATTCAAAGAAAATGTTTGTTGAAAATGTGACCGACCGACTAAGTGAGGATTTTCCAATGACCACATATGGCTCTTTCGGAAGTTATTCACCCCATTACGTGTGACGGTTGATTCGTCCATCCCTAATATACATTGCAACAACCACCCAAAAAACGCACTCTTGCAGAAAGATCCTCAGCTTGGAAGGTTTGTCACGCGGCGTTTGGCACACTTTAGTCTTGGAGACTTGCACTTGTCTAGACACTTCCTTATATTAGCTGTTGAAGGTTTTTGTTTTGCAAGGTTCGATACTCCTTCGACAGTATGCAACATTTGAGGTTGTCTATGTCTGAGGGTCCACCTCTACATTCTTGCAAACGACCTGCATCCCTAGTTCTTTGCACAAGGTAAACAAATTCACGCGCCTCTGAATTATAACGTCTATGCAAGCGATCTGCATGCACTCTCGAAGCCTCGGTATCATTTTGGAAACACCATGAACTAAAGCTATACCGACAAGTTCGATAATGCTGTACGAGTGTGGCATGTCGTTTCTTTTTTTGAGGAACCTGGGGAGTACTGACGTGTGTCGTGAATTCACATCCCTCTAGCCCTGCTCTGACCAAAAGCAACCCGACTCCAGCCTGATTTAGTCTCGTTTTGAGGTTTTGATAAAAGTGCTTACTAGTTAGAAAGTGGAATGCAAATAATTATTGTTATTCTAAGAAATTTCGACTGAAAAGCGTATAAGTAACATGGTTCACAAGTAAAACATACTGATTACCCGTAAAAAAATATGCAGTACCTATCTTAATCAACAATCTGCAACTCCTTACACACAAACACACTTCTTACTTCATGCTTCTTGAATCCGATAACAGTCGTACAATAATAACTTCCTTACCGGACTTCTTGTGTCAATTGTAGCAGTCCTGGAGGTTTTCCAACACTGCTGTTCCAACTGGATCACTTCAGAGATCACAAGAAATGCCTCTATCACATCATCAATGGTTTTTTGAGAATACGATCAGAATGTTAGCCAAAGGCATTCGGTAGTGAGTTGTAGAGGTCCATATTTAGGGCTTTTTTATTTCTGTAAGTTGTGGCAATACTGACTGTATCAATGTCCACGCCCTTGGTCGATGCTTGACACCATAACTCGACGAAGTTCCTTGTCTCGTATTTTCCGTTGTGTTTGTACCTGCATATTACGCCGGACACTTGTTTTTTTCTTTGTCCGGTCCGGGTCCGAAGAGCCTTGCCGAAAAGAAACAATTACTTATGCATGGACAGACGCACCAACGGGTCAGAGTTTAATGGCAATCGTACGGAAAAGCCAGAAATTAACGGTAATATATGTCTGGATTTTTTTTTACTATTTGTACCTTTCTTTTCGATCGATTACAGATAAAGGTACGGATTATCTTCGCATAACTTATCTAAAGCATTATTCAAAACTTGTCGTTTGAGTTCGCTTTGACGAGAAAGTTAGCAAACAACGACTCAGAGTGGCCCATCCATGTGTGGACGGGATATTACTCATAAACAAATACATTTTGGGAAAATCTATTTATGGCATGTTAGACACGACATTTAAGGGCACATCTCTAAAATATTGGCAATTATACAGAGTGTCCCAGTTTTGACCTACATATCGAAGTTGCGATTTTTTACATAGAATGCCTCAAATTTTATTGCATATTTGGATGAACCTATTCAAAAGAAGAAGATTCATATAACATACTATGGGGTTTTGGTAATTAGCTACTGAGATATAAGGTGTTTTGTCTGGAAAAACCCCCCACTTCGGTAACCCCTCGGTCC